TTTACTATTACAGTAATAGAAAAGACACCAACGAAGAAAATGCTGAAAGATGAAAATCATCTCCATGGTAACACACGGATAACCAAATAAGTTAATACAACTCTATGTCTCTAAGATCGATTTGTACAACTACAGAAGTCTCATGTAGCGGGATACGGTTTGGATACAGAAACAAAACCCGTCGATACTCAATGATTTATTCAAACACCTACATAACAGTATCACGTGCAGATCTTATGACACCAATGTGCTTACTCTAGTATTAGTCAAAAGGGTCATGGCGAAAAGACCGTCAAGAGCTTCGTTTATTTCTTGAATTTTGAAACCATTATGGATGGAGCTGTCTGCTTTTGTATTCAGTCCAACTTCTTCAAGGCGATTGAATCACTTTTTCGAACGAATTCGTCGTCGAAGATCCATCCAAGACTAAAACGCTTCCACATTCCATCTAATGCTTGTCGTAGTTGGTTAGTTGGTTGGTTGTTTAACGCCGCACTCAGCAATATTCCAGCCATATGGAGGCAGTCTGCAATTAATCGAGTCTGGACCAGACAATCCAGTGATCATCATCACAAGGATCGTTCTACGCAATTGGGATACGATGACAGGGCGGATACAACTTTTTGAGGTGTGGGTGCGTGACTGCGTGCGCACAGTTCATTTTCACGAGAGTTTCAATTGTCATTTAATAAACTTTCAGGGCAAAAGGGGGACGGGGATGAGCACCCTCCTCTGGATCCGCCAATGGATGACTTGTGTCAACCAATGGCGCGAGCCTGACCACCCGATCCCGTTAGTCGCATCTTACGACAAGCATTGGTTACTGAAGACCAATTCTAACCCGGATCTTCACGGGTAAAATGCTTGTCGTAAACGTCGACTTATGAGGTCAGCGTAGCACACTGTCGTTGATCGGCGTCCGTGCTATCAATCCCAGGTTGTCGTAACGAAGCAGATTGTCGCCTAAAACAACATGCAATCACTCTACAATAACGGCTGTAAACATCTTTGACTGGGTCAAGCAGCTTCAAATTCTTTACGCACTGCACCAGCATGTAAGACAGTTTTTAAATACACAAATACATATCGAAATTCAGCTGCTATGAATATCCGAAAGATGGCGGTATCTGCTTCAATAATATTTACTCAATCGTAATCCGATTCAAATCCTCGCCCAAAATGTCGTATTTTACAGACGCTTTAGTTTGGAAGACGCGACATGTGTCCCGAGTTGTTTTTTTAGAAAGCCAGCCGTGACTCACTCCATTAACTTGGCATGTGTTTGTATAACATTGAAGGGGATTATTTATACGCTGCTCCAACAGACATCCTTGAAAAAAAATAGACAGGAAACCGAAAAGAAAAAGCATGGCTCACCCTAAGGAGGAACGCGGTCAAAGGGAGGTAACTTCGCTCTACCTCGCCCAGACACTGCGCAAGCCACTATCTGTTAAGTCAAAGGAAATAAGGACGTTTTCGTGAAATTTAATATATTTGTGCAGCTAACTACTGACATCAGTCGAACTAATTAGAAAATGTGACAGATGAAAGAAATATTAACTGAATATCGGTTAACTATAAATACACGCAAAGATGTCGCAGAAAGTCTCAAGTATAGTGACATCTGGACCAAGCCTACAGTATAACAAATGAACCCACTTATATTGAAAAGGAGCCCCATTGAGAAAGGAGATTCTAAACCTCAGGAAACCTAGACTTGCTTCATTTGGGGCGTTAGTATTGCAGGGAAGGCTAGGCAGTTGGGAAAATAATGTGGTTCCGGGACTGTGAGACAGACTAAGTGGTATCATGTAATAAGGTGAGGTGAGGTGAAATTGGGTTTTACGTCGTGCTTGAGAATATTTCGCTCATATGACGACGTGCATGCGTATGTGTATGTGCGGCTGCTTGTACTATCCCAGACTTAAGCTGGTTTTATAGTGCTAGCCCACTGAGATACCATGCTGCAGTGAAGCATGAATACCCCACTCAGACACATTATACTGACTCTGTGCCAACCAGTCCTTGTTGTACCCATTAATGCCGAGCGCCAGGCAGGGACCAACAAGTATCATATTTTAACGTCTTTTGGTATGACGCGGTCGGGGATCGAACCCGTGAACTTCCGCTCTCCGGGCGGACGCTCTAACCACTACACCACGGAGGCGGTCTCATGTAATAAGAGTTAATTGGGTCATCACTACGCTTTGGCCACTACTCCACTTATAACAGGGTGCGTCAGATAGTTTTGCGAGGAAAGCCTAAAATGACGCAGGTCTTAAACATTTATCATTTTGGTGAATGCCACGAGCACGGGTATGGTGCTCACAAAGCAAACAACATTATTAGGGGCAACCTTGATTCGAAGGGGCGCAACAATTTCCGGCGTCTCACAGAAATTGAACACCTGCGACTTCGCATGTAATTGATGTTATGATGTTGAAGATAAAACGTTTCGTATACATTCAAACATACAGTATTCCAGCCCAAAATAATTCTGACGTCAAAGCGAACAAGATACATATCTGCGACCTGTTCTCGCGTGGTTCGACATGTTCCTCCGTGTGTGACTTGAATCTAAGCACTAAGTGAACTAAATTCCACGTAACAGAATGATAGTAGTTTTCGGCGTTGAAGGCTGTTCGACCAATTGCGATTTTGCCTTAAAATGGTGAGTTTTACCAGGGATACTCTACGACAACGTTATAAAGTTCCCCTGGTTTTACACATCATCTTTAAAATATTTTATTAATATACAACTCACACTTTGCTAAGGATCACAAAAACTCCCAACTTTACTAAAACAAAGATTTATAATTTCAAATTGTATCCTTTAAAACTGCATAAATAATAATATGGTAACACCTCTTTAGGAAAACAGTCACTTTAATCTAACATTATGCACTTGATACATGAGTAACCATAAAATAGTTTTTATGGCACCAATCAACCATTTTGCAAATCAAAGAACGAGTCATTGACAAGTACACAACACCTGTCAATAGCAGGTATGGGATCCACAAGATGCCAGTGACAAACTGAAACCTAGGATTCATGCTTACAATAAGCTTAGATATTTAAATCAAATCAGACCCCTACATCATAGTTTTCTGTTCAATCAATGATTTGATCCTTAGAAAGGTGTGAATAGTATATATCGGTATCATCTACCTTGTAACAAGCCTGAATACTACAACCGTGGGTGCAGCTTTTTGAAAAATGATAATTCATTTCTATTTTGAGATGATCATACGATTAATTTGGAGCATTTCACTGTAGCGGCGATAGCACCGTGTCAGATACAGCCTGTCTTGCGGGCTTCAATTCCCGCCCCGTCTGTATATTCCGAAATAAGACGTATGTATATAATGAATTGATTTGTTTGTAAGTACTACATACATTCAATATAAACATGGCTTCCATTTCGCTTTTACGTCCTTTCTCATGTTGTATGATTTCATCATTTCCTGTAATTTGTGATACTACCAATACGTATCCGGTTACAATGTGTATCGGAATAGTTTGGCTTATCCTCTACAAAATCTCACGAAACGATATAAGTGTCCATATCCACAGCAAATTCTCTCCATGTGACCTGAGTTAATGACCTAGTGTTAAGCCTAGACGAGTTATGCCCCCTCGTCTTTATTAAGACAGACGGACAGTTTGACGTCATAGAAGAAAATTCACGGCAAGCCATTCTTATATTGAATCTACCACGTTTTACATAAACCCATTTGATAAATACTTTTATTACCTACGAGGGCGAAAATATCGGGATCATATTTTCGTACGATGCCCTATGACGTCACATTTCTTCTATGACGTTGCGTTCTTCATGCAGCGACGGTGGGTAGCCAGTCTTTGTTTGAAGGTAGGTTTGAGTTTATTTTCTTCAATTTGACGACTTCGGTAATATTAGCGGATATACCGATATTTAGGCACCAGTGTCCTTAACATAGTATGATATGGGCACTCATATAATATCCTCTATTTATTATCCATATTGTGAAACATAACCAGTGTCATATATATCATATGTGCACATGTGCACATATCACTTTTGCCTAGAAACCATTGTTTCTGTATTTCGTCGTCTGTGACGTCATTAAACAATTGAACGTGACGTCAATGAACAGGGCAGTCACACTTGTTTACCGTGTTTTACTGCACAAATGTACATGAATAAAATGGATAATAAAGAAGTTATTACACTCGCAAGTGTGCCACACAACAATAAGTCAAAACTCGTGCAAAATTGTGTAATGCCTTGCTCTCGCTCGGGCAATAGAAAATTTCACACTCGTTTCGTATAAGTATGACACACTTGCTCGTGTAGTAATCTCTATATGTCGTTCAGGTATCATACAGTATATTGTATTTCCGTAAAGAATCGGATAGTATAATTACATATTCTATATATTTGTATAATTTTACAGTCGTTGGTAGTACATGTGTCGTGCCAATGGAATTTCTTGCGCAACGATCGCTTTTCAGATCATACAAACATCTCAGCATCCAGGGATGAACAGCAAATTATTCAGACACGCGTATTTATGCTGGTCAGAACTCTTTCATGTACACAAGATATTTCACCATTCAGCAGCTCTTCAGGTTCGTTGTGTAGCCTTAAGCAGCAATATTCCATGGGCCTGTACTGCAGTAAATAATCGTGTCTGGAACAGATAATCCAGTGAATCAACATCATGAGCATCAATTGGGATACGATGACATGTGTCAGACAAGTCAGTGAGACTGACAAAGTTATCAATACACCTGAAGAGCTGTTAGTGTCCTCTTAAAACAAGAATGGGTTGCTGAAGGCCACTTGTAGCTGGGTTCTCAATCACATGTTGTACCCGACTCTTGGGTAACATGAAGTCCGACTGGTCCCAGCCATATCATACACACTGAGATACAGTCGAACTCGGCCGAGTCAACTCCCTTCAACTTCGACACAATGTTGGTTGACTGTACACCAGAAAATACAAAAACATCAGTAATGCCGATACATTTGTCAAGTTTTATTTTCTGCTATACTTTCAGGAGTGATATCAAACAGGTGGTAGTTATCAGGGTTCCAAGACTTGAACTGTTGCCATGGTAACTCCTCTATACTACTGTCCATATTTTGTGGAAACTTGGGGTCTTCCAGCTGCTTCAAGAGGTCTTCTGCTCGGGGGGGTCAACAAGTGCACTGACCTCCAGTTCCGTTTTCACAGCCGAGAGATTGGAAAGGTCGACAAAGTTCGCAGATATCGCTACAGATACCTCCAGATTTTCTACATAGTGTGGACACCCACTTGGGACAAACAAAACTTCACCTGTTGAAAAAATATACTGAAGATGATGAAATTGAGGCTTGATTGTGTCAAGTATTGTCAATGTTCGTTTACACTATTTGATTAAGCAGGTAAAAAAATGCCAGCATTGCAATGCATGACAGTGTCAATATTATTAGCACTTCCTCACCCACATCCTGAAAATACATAACACTGCTTGTTTATGTTCAAGAGTAAACTAAACTGGTGGCCTTTTCTCATTCGAACATGGCATATTTCAAATTTATAGTGAGTGAGTCAGTTTAAGTGTTTCAAAAAACTTCAAGAATTCCTTCTCGCATGTACGGGTAACCAAGATGGGAGTCAACTCAGGTCTTTAGCTAACACTTTAATCACTTCGCTACTCAAATATTATGGGATGGCACCTGACAGTATGACTTTATGGGAAGACATTATACACAGTTCGTGCAATACCATTATACTCTGCCACTTTGATTATTTAGATCAATTTCTATAAGAACACAAAACACGTTTTTATTAAATCTGTGTAGTGGGACCATACTGAAGATACCTTGTTTGAGGTCACACTGCAGAGGCTGAGCCAAGGCCATCAGAGGATGGGCCTTGAGGTCAGGCAAGGTCACGCTGACATCAAATGTCGGGTCCATGGAATGGAAGTACTGTGGGTACAGAGAGGCCTCATCCTCCCTACTGAAGAAAGTCCACCTACAACACACAGCCATGTTGTAGCTTTATCTGGATGAGAAATCAGCATGGGGTCCTGGCAACTTCTTTCACACAGGATCGCTACAAGTGTAGTACTCTTCAGAAAGCTGAGGCAGTTCTGTATGAACACTGGCTGACATACATCTGACAATATATTCCAAGACATACAAGATATGGATTTTATTTATATCCAAAGTAACTATTTACTAACTTGCTAAATATACAACAAATGATTTTCAAGATGAAGCCTTCTCATATTCTTTGAACATTGAAAGTTGCTATAAGGTTGAAAAGATGCAAGTATTCAATTTGCACACAAATTGAAAGTTGACAGAAGTTATGAATATTTTTCATTTGTTGCTCAAGGTCTCAATCATTGAAGCATCCTAAGGACTATGACAGCAAGCTTGTGATGACTAATAAGAGTTACGATTGTTCTTGGGCTAAGATTGTCATGAGGAGCATAGCCCAGTCCAAGATGGGAATAGAGGGAGTCAAGTGAATGAATGCTGAGATGAGATGACAAAGCTAGGAACGTGATTATACATACATAATTAGTGATTATACATACCGTTTCCTCCCCTGGAAGAGAGCCATCCAGAAGTTGGATGCGAAGGCATCGATGTGTAGCTGGCTGCAAACCCCCGCAGGAGCCAGGAATAGACTGGGCCAACTGTCCTGGTACAGGCTGCTTCTGTTGGTCCTCTGGAGCAGGTCACCTGCAGCACACACAGTCTTAGAAAGTGTTCACAGAAAAACCAGACACACTCCTTAGATTGCAGCCATAAGGATACTGAACTTCATCCTGCTTGAGTGAATGTTATTTCATGTCTTGGTCATTAGTATTTCAGCTTTATGACATTAGTCTGTTGATAATCAGGTCTTACAGGTGAAAACTAGTGGCTGACTCCACGAACAAGCATTCACACATTCAGGGTATCACGACAAACAATCTGAGCATGATGACCCACATTCAAGGCATGATGACCCACAATCAGGTCATGTTGACACAATCAGGTCATGATGACCCACAATCAGGTCATGTTGACACACAATCAGGTCATGTTGACACACAATCGGTCATGATCACTCAATCGGGTCATGATGACCCACATTCAAGCCATGATGACCCACATTCATGTCGTGATGACACACAATCAGAGCATGATAACACACCATCGGGGGCACAATATCATATAATCCGGGCATGATGTCACAATTCATCCTCGTCTCGTCCTAATCAGTTGGCTATGCGAGGACAAGATACTAGGGACCTTCCATGGTAGAATGAACATACTAAACATCACATTGTAATCAAATCAAAGGACTTTTTTATTGTTGCACTATGAGATGATCAGGTGCCATTCAAAAACAATTCTCAAATACAGAATCGTACCTGCAAAATACCTGGGTATAGAGAGTTCCTCCACTAGCTTGGGGCAGTGTAGGGGGAGGCTCCAGTCAAACAGGTACTGCATAGAGGGAAGCCCCTCCTTCCCCTGCCTCTCAGTGTCCCTGGGGTTCAGGGTCTGGTCCATGTATTCTCCCACCGTCACAGTGTCACCTTCCTCTAGCCCTGCCCACTCAACAGACCAACCCACTGGTTTCTTCAGGGTGACTTTAACTTCACCTTAAAGAAAAATAATAATGATGATTATTATTATTATTGATGATTCTTCCTTCCTGTCTATTAATCATCATTTCAAACCATAGAGCTAAAATAGTTAAAGGTCACATGCAACAAACAATCACACATAATTAAAACACAATTATCACTTATTCATGACACATTATATACATTGCTGATTATGAAAAAAACATATAAACAAAATTATAAGCGTACAATCGCAGATCAAAAGTGCAATTTGTTGTACTTGGATTTATTTCCCTAGAAAGGAAGCTATCGGGATAGCGAACCCGGTCAGAGCGGTTGGGTGTGCACTCAAGTGTAACAGCTGGTTCATTTGCAGGGTTACATACCTGGAAGTAGACATTTGTGATGTTTAAAACAACAAACCAGTGGAGCATGTAAGGATTTTCAAGTCCACTGCCTCCAGAGAACAATGGAGGTTCTATGTTATTTCAACCACATGGGTCATACAAAAATGTTAACTGGTAAATAGATGGAATACATCCACAAACCATTCCCAAGGTAAAAACAAAATACATAGCATAGTTTCGTTCTTACTTTTATTTCATAAGTCATATGTATACAATAAAGTTCAATAAATATACACAAATATCACAAAAATGATATTGTCAACACTGTCATGTACAAGTATCAGGTATCACTATTTTATTTTATTAGTTCATTTACATTAATAATTACATACATAAATTAAATAATAATATACACAAAGCATGATTAACATTGCATTCAGTACTTAGCACTAGCACTTAGCAGATGCCCTCATTGTGTGTGTATATAAAGAGATGTTGGGTTTTGTAAATACATGCTCATTTTTTTACAACCAACAGACATCATAACATGTCATGTGTACAAGCATCACACCTGCCTGTCTGTGTAATTACACAATGTGACAGAGACCGAACTCAGGCCATAAATCAATGCGTTTTGTTTATGGTATATAGCCTGATAGGTGTTAAGTTCAAATTGCATGTGGTCAGTGATCGAAGTTGTGTATTGAATATTGTCATTAGCAGACAAGCAGGCAGACACACAGACACACAGGTCAATTCCATCACTCTTACAGTGAAAAGTATCGAAAATTTACATGGCGGTCCACATTATGTTGCGCGCTTTAATTACATATTTTTTCACAGAAAACTGCAGCCCAGAAGCATATAATATAGCCATGTATAAATGTCGGTGTAGTTCTGATTGCCAGGGGTGTGGTGGGTTAGCCTAGTGGTTGAAGCGTTTGCTCTTCACGCCGAAGACTTGGGTTCAATATCCCACATGGGTACAATATGTGAAGCCCCTTTCTGGTGTCCCCTGCTGTGACATTGTTCGAATATTGCCAAAAGCAGTGTAAAACTAAACTCACTCACTCACTCTGATGGCCAGGATGTAAAGGTTACCTGCGACATCACAGATGTGCTGCAACGTCCAAGGGACAGATGTCATCTTGTCCACCAAGTCTGTGATGACCACTGGAGTACTGGTTGCTGCATAGGTGTAGAAAAACTCTTGCATGGACAGATTACTAGCGGAAACTCGCCTTACCTGAAAGGGAATGAGTTGTTTGTTTTCCTTTCAAATATCATTCGTGTATAACATGAGTGAACATTATAAATTTAATCAGCTGAACAATTTAAAGAGAATATATAAATATTGTATGATATATTAATTTCAGTTTTTTGCAAAAAACATAAAAAAATCATATTCATTTACTATTTTAGATTTAAAGCTGATCAGAAAAATTGTGATAACCAAAAGAACTAAAACCCATCCCACAATCTCACCTGTTTGACAGGTTTCAGTTCCAATTTCCGCCCAGCAAGTTCTTTGAGCATCTTGTCTTGCTGTTGCTTCACCTGTACTTGCCTCTCCACCTTGTGTAGGTGCCATCGGAATTCCTTGTCTGAAACAATCAGCAAATTAGTACCAAACAAAACTGCAATCCCATTCACCAGACAATGTTAAATGAACAGTGTATACTTTCATTGGATAATAACCGTAACTCCCATAACAGAGGGAATCATCATTTTTCATATCTGACTTGTCCACAGTTCATTTTAGACTGGGGTTTTGTAAAATAAGTAGAATAGAACAACTAGTCCATCTTGATTGTTACTAGTCTCGTACTAGCAGACTAGTGGTCATGTCTTAGCCAGAAGAAGTAGCCCCAGAAGTTGTTCCTTGAATGGCTGCCCAATAACTTGTCTGCCCTTGTCTGCCTTCTTCATTTCACAAACATATCGGTGGTATACTTACTATCAGGGTCTTCAGTGAGAGCTTGTTTCAGATGCTGTCCAGCTTCTGTGAGATTGCCCAGACTTTCTTCCACAGTTCCCAAGGCAGCAAAGGCTTCCCCATCCCCACCCTCAAGGTCTATCAGTGTCTTCAACTTGTTTCTCTGGCTTTTCAAAAACTCCACGCCTGGTCGGCATCTGAAAATTTTTTACAAATTGCTTCACACCTTTCAAACAAAATTTCCCAAGTTCATTTTAATTCATGTTTCATGTAGAGGTAGTGTAAGAAATTGATAGGAAACACTTTAGGCTGCTATTCCATCCTGGCAAATATTAACCATGTCATCAGAATCATCACCGCAAAAGGTATATGTATATTTAAAAATATTTTGGTAATTTGGTCTTTAAAATGATAGGTTAATAACAAAATTTCTCTCCTCATAAAACATACATGACACAAGCTACACAATTCACAGATATTCAAATAATATCCCTTGTTACTGTATCACAGAATATATTCTTTGCCGATATGTATCAGTTTTGCACCACTGTGGATTTTCTGGAGCCCTAGTGAATGAGTGAGTGAGTGAGTGAGTATGGTTTTATGCCGCTATTAGCAATATTCCAGCAATATCACAGTGGGGGATACCAGAAATGGGCTTTACACATTGTACCCATGTGGGGAATTGAACCTGGGTCTTTGGCAGGACGAGCGAACACTTTAATCGCTTGGCTACCCCACTGCCCCTGCAGCCCTAGTGACCACCAGTCCATCATCAGACAGACATCATTCTAGCTCATACCTATCCGTTCAGTTCTTACTCAGATCATCATATGGACGTACCTGGAGATGTAGTGTAATAGAGTGTTTGGGTTATGGGTCTGTGGAAGATCGGACACTGGTATTAAACATTTTCCTGTTTGCCTCCACCATCTTGCAAGGGCAGCTCTTGCTAACATCACACAGCTTCTGTCTCCTGCATTCACCTTTTTTCTTTTCACATTCTCTGAAGTTATACCATGTCTGTCTCTTTGCTTCAGATTGTGTGAAGCTAATGTCATTTTCATTGCATGTTTCTCGTTTTTTAATGGAAGTGCAATGATATGGCGCTTCCGTGCTTTGAACAGGCCACTCCCTGATTGGCTGTATTTCATTCTGACTGTCACTTGTTGTAATAGGCCATTCTGTGATTGGCTGAATATCACTATCTTCCAAATCTGAGCTACAAGAATTTTCCATGTGGAGTTTGGTGTGAACATCGAAGATGAAACGATCGAAGATGAAATTAAATACTCTTTTTATCCGTACTTTACGTATGTTGATAACATTGCTAATCTGGCAACTGACATCACCATATGTGCTTGATTTTGTTTCCTTGTGAATGTGACGACAGCTATTTATGACAGAAAAACACAGAGTTTCAAACCTCCCTAAACATATAAATACTGACAAATGTTACCATATGAACTTACGAATCGTATAATCAGTTGCAATAGGTATGGAAGCCCTAACATTACAATCCACTTTCCGATCAGCACTAACGCACGAACAACGAGAAAATGTGCTTGCAGGGGAGGTAACTCTAATGAGCCAACCTCAACGCGCCCATGTTGTCGAGCAATGTAGGAGATACATTATGATCGCCTTGTAGTAGAGTTCAAATCTTTTACACGCTACAACGACATTTTTTGTATGTTGATAAACCTAACAAACATAATACAGATTTAGCAGCATGTGAATAAATTACTGTTTTGTTTCTGTTTGTTTTTCAAACATGATGAAGGATGACTTTTTCTTCACAAGCGACACCAAATCGGACATAAATCATTTCGTGATTCGTTTTTATATTCTATTTTCAGTGATTAAGACACCAAACGTCTACTAGACAGATGACTCTTTCAATATACGAGACCCTTAGAAACAGAACTGTGTTTTAAATCCACGTACCGACGGCAGAGACATATTTCCCTTTTGCCTTATAGTAATTACATGTAGTTTTCTCCTAACGAAAACTATCTTTCTCTACACCCTTTTGTGCAGGTGAGATTCCTGCTTCGGAATTATTTGCACGTTAAGCTTTCATGAGGGTCGGCTTGGTAGGACGGCCAAAATGTATGCCAACTGGGTGATTGGATAAGACAGTAGGAAAAAAGTCCTCGGTAAAAATGCACCGGCGAAAAGGTATTCCGGAAACACGCAAGTACACCAAACACGCAAGTCGATAAGTCAAGATTGTTTGGAAATGTAGTCGTAAGTCCAGTATGAACTGCCAGGGCCATCTGTTGACGGACATTCAAAATGGGAATCGAGAGCTGAGAAAAAACCCTATAACCACTCTCCTGATGATACATGAAAAGTCAATAAACGCTATGAAAAACTAAAAAATACATTTTCCTTGGCAAATTTAGGACTTTTTTCCCGAGGACTTTTTTTCCGCACACCGATTGCATAACCACGAAGATCCGGGTTAGAATTGTTCTTCAGCAACACATGCTTGTCCCAGAAGGAAATTAACGGCGTCGGGTTGTCAGTTGGCTGACTTGGTTGATACAGTCATGTTATCGTATCCCAGTTAGCGTACAGATTGATGCTCCTAACGTCAATCACTGGATTACCTAATGAATGGTTCTCTTCGCTGTTATTCTTTTACACCTCAGTAGATTGGTCTTAATACCAGTCATACTGCCACTTGTACCGCACTGTGGATAAGAAGCAAGGATCTCTCGAACATGGGGTTACAAGTTAAACTTTGAGACTTGGGCGCAAGATCCATCTTCTCAGTACGATGTAATACGAATAAAAAGTGATCGAGTTCAGCTCGAGGATTCGTTGTTAGTTTGCAAGGGCCTATTTGCACGATAATATGTTTAACACAATTGGCTCAGCCTGCAATTGTTGTTCAGATGGAAGGTAATCTGTGTTTTGATATTCAGAATAAACAATGCCTTGAAGACACAACATCATTTAGAAAGTGCTCAGATGTATTTGGGGTTACTCTGTCTCAGTACAGATTCCAGTACTATATATTCTGATCATGGTATTTTTCACTAATATATTGGTTTAAAGTGCAATAGATCTTAATAAGGATCACACATAAACTTACGCTTGTGTTTTCCGTATAATTTACTTATATATGCGACTTCACTGAATCAGTTCTGAACAGCAATGACTATTAATCGTTGCTTAGATATTAGGAACAGTGAGCAGCGCTTTATATTTCCAAAATAATTTACGGAAATATCCATCCAGAGCCAACGTAGCTGAACAGGCTGATAGAAAATATTTACTATCAGATTATTCCCTTCCAGAAATATACGATTTCACCTGAGCCGAATCATATGCTGACAATCCGATTCTAAGTAAAATCAAGTTACTTTTCATACGACAATAAACGTTACAATGAAAACGCCCCATTTCAAGGTTTCATGGACCTCCGTGGACCATACACTACATACAGGAACTGGACCACTTGTCAAGTTTATTTTAGTAGCTTCGAACCCTCACTCATCAGTATAAACAGTCACACGCTTGTGTAACCCTGGCCTGTCAAGGCTAAGTGCATCTGTACCCATCCATTAACATCTCTCTAATGTGTTATAATCACGGACGTGATGACCGAGCGTCCGCTGCTTGCCCACTTCTGACACCAAATACACTACTCCGTCCTCGCCTTCATATGCTGCCCGATCATTTTATAGATTTTGCCATTGCATCCGCTTAGCTGTTTAACGCTAGTGATTACAACACTTTGTCGGCGGTGATTGATACCCATTCGATATACGCCGATTGATTCCGGGATCGTGCTCTCGTAGTAATGTTACTGCAAAACTCTTTACACTGCTGTTGGCTGTGATCGAGGACCGGGGCCGATGGAACAGATGTCGTCTGCTTTGAAATGGGTTTGCCAGGGATCCGCCGTAACACAGTAAAAAGTGGTGCTAGTTTCACAAGTGATTTAAGTGACCTTGTGTCCTATATTTGGTTAATGGTCATCGTTAAAATGTACCGGAAAGATTCTCAATTGATTGCCATGTTTACGATCTTGTTGAGTCCCGCGTGATACATCTCTAGAGTTTTTCTGAAAGGTCAATTTAGTGTTTTACGTAAGTACGCGGCCCCGTTCCTCAGCTTAAATCTCATTGTGAGAGAGAGAGAGAGAGAGAGAGAGAGAGAGAGAGAGAGAGAGAGAGAGAGAGAGAGAGAGAGAGAGAGAGAGAGAGAGAGAGAGAGAGAGAGAGAGAGAGAAGAGAGAAATGACTTAAACCCACATTGAAGATTGTTTTTTTGCGTCGGCGGAGCCAGGGGGTGTGGGGTCAGGGGATCACTGGATTGTCTGGTCCAGACTCGATTATTTACAGACCGCCGCGGTATAGCCGGAATATTGCTGACAGCGGCGTAAAACTAATAGACTCGCTCACTCCTACTATACCGACAAGCCTCAACCCGCCCGTCTCCACATCCCTTCTCGATCGACTCGGGATGTCGTGTTTGGTTAGGTGAACGTTGGTTGCCTGTACTAGTACAAGCGCATTCAAGACGCAATTACGTCGAGCTGGACGATGTCAGCTCTTCCACTTTATATCGTAAGCCAATGATAAACTATGCAAGTTAAGACCACCTTAGCACTAAGACGGCTAAAAGTTGAGCAATATGCCCGTGACGATCCGGTTTGAAGTGGTCTTCAGCAACCCGTGCTTGTCTTAAGAGGCGACTAACAGGATCGGGTGGAGAGGCTCGCTGTTGGTACATGTCATCGTATCCCAAATGCGTGGATCGATGCTCATGATGTTGATCACTGGATTGTCTTGTCCAGTCTCGATTATTTACAGACCGCCGCCACATAGCTGGAATATTGCTGTGTGCGGCGTTAAACAACAAGCAAAGGAACAAATTCAAAACGAACAAAAACAAACAAACTTTGAGGAACGAGGTTCTGATATTAATAAGCTTTGCATTACTCCTTGAGCCATATGCAATTTTTGAGTATATGAAAGAGACTATAAGGTGGTGTTTCATATAACGTTTATGACCATACCAAACACATGCAACGTAAAACACAACTTTGCAGATTCTGATACTTTTTGGTATGGACTTACCGAAACAAATCATCAAAAATGCAAATTCAACTTATAAAGTTAATAAAAAAATAACGCGATGAAAAAAACCGCGCGAAATCGTAGTTCAAACGATTCACTAACTTTCCCCCAGCGCTTGGGGGAATGAAGTGGTTTCAACAGCTTGGCTGCGCTCATAGCACATGCGCAGTGAAATAGGTTCGCGGAGCTTGGAAGCGGGTTGTCCGGTGAATATTCGGTGAAGGCTTTGGTGTGAGCTATTTTTCTAATGTTTTGTTGATATTTCACAGGCGCGAGCTTTTTATATGTTATTACAGTAGATTACCGATTTAACTGTTTACATAATTTCATTTGTCTATTTCACCACACGTTCTTCTTACCGAGTCACTTTCTCAGTTCGATACTTAAAAGCAATGCCATTATTTAGTGTCGACAGAATTTCTAACTGTGATATAGATATGTCGTTGTCACAGACAAAACTCAATGTCTGTTTTATTACCACATATGTGTCTGCCTGCCCGTCTGCTAATGACAATATTCAATACACAGCTGCTATCACTGACCACATGCAATTTGAACTTAACACCTATCAGGCTATACACCATAAACAAAACGCATTGATTTATGGCCCGAGTTCGGTCTCTGTCACATTATGTAATTACGCAGACAGGCAGGTGTGATACTTGTACACATGACATGTTATGATGTCTGTTGATTGCAATATGTTATACACAAAATGAGCATGTATTTACAAAACCCAACATCTCTATATATACACACACAATGAGCCGTGAGGGCGACATCTGCAAATGACTGACTGACTGAGTTTGGTTTTACGCCGCTTTTAGCAATATTCCAGCAACATCACGGCGGGGGACACCAGAAATGGGCTTTACACATTGTGCCCATGTGGGGATTCGAACCCGGGTCTTCGGCGTGACGCTTCAACCATGAGGCTACCCCACCGCCCCATCTGCAAATGAACCAGCCGTTACACTTGAGTGCACACCCACCCGGTCTGACTGGGTTCGGCCTCCCGTGTGCTTCGTTTCTTGGGAAGTAAACCCAAGTACAAAATATTGCACTTTTGATCTGCGATTGTACGCTTATAATTTTGTTTTATGTTTTTTCATAACCAGCAATGTATATTATATGTCATGCATAAGTGATAATTGTGTTTTAATTATGTGTGATTTTTTGGTTGCATGTGACCTTTAACGATTGCGGTGCGGTTGTTGTATGTCTGTCATAGGAGGTACGACATACGTAGGCTACGATAGCTTTGTGCAAGTGCGCCCAGATATGTAACTGGCCTGTGTACCTGAACTACGGGTGCTACCCTGGCTGACTGTGTCCAGGAGAAATATACCCCACATATATCTTGCGTGATAATAGAGCAATAAATAATCAATGACGAGTGCAGTCAACTCAAAGTGTCTTAGCCGATATAAATGTGTAGTCGCTCTGCAAACAACCTCCTTGACTGACAT